GCCCTTTCCGTTTCCTGTTCGATGTAATTTTTATACCACTGTGACCACCGTCATTTTCTCTACAGGTTGACTGGAGCAAAACACTAAATCGCAACTCGCGCCAGAGGAGCCACCGTACCCGAGAGCTTCACCGCTGGTAAGTCTCGGTTTTCTAGAATTTTTTGGCCCACCGAGGGCCCTAGGGGTGTTTTATCACATGAACCAATTGAAATTTGGCCGAAAACGGCCAACTCGAGGCGGATCGTCGCCGTGGGAGGTGGCACCATCGCCGAAGCACCGCGAAGCCGCCGTGTCGGAATTCCAAAATTGGCCGAATGGGCCCTGGGTCGGATTTGAGATTTTTTGAAGACATGTACAGGTACCGGAAGTGTATTTCAGTTTTCGAAAAAAAATTTAGGGAATCTAGGGATTGCCCGTAAGCGCAGTAAGAACCCGATTTCAGACTCCGAAACAAGTAAGGATCTCTCACCCTATTTTCTATCACGACATTAAAGCCTAATAAATGATAAAATGGTATTTTATGAATTAATATATATGTATAATTGATTAACGTTGCTAATGGAGTCCGAATCTGATATATTTTTGGTCAGGTGTTGTTTGATTTATTTTACAGTTTTGAATGCAGTATGGTGCCTAATGTGTTTATTCTATAGTTTCATATGCATGAATCACGGTTTCATTTATTATGCTTTGAATTATTGTGAACCCAATGTTCTGTTGCCTTGTTTGATGTTTATTACTGGTTTACGTGTTTTTGTTTGATTGGATAATTGAAATTAAGAAAAATAGTAAAAAGGCATGTGAATTGATAATGGATAATGTCTACAGCCTCACTAGATATCCTGGAAGATGGTGAACGGACCGGGTCCATAGGGAACTCTACAGGGAACGTGGTCTCTCATATCGGACGGGGTATGGAGACTTTATGTGTTTTGCACCCATACCAGACGGGGTATGGGGACGACTCGTTTCACCCTCATACCGACCGGGGTATTGAGGTTTATGGTTTTTGCGCCCATACCGGACGGGTTATGGGGACGACCCTAGAATTAAATTATTAATGTGAATGGTTCACGTGTAGCGGGGACCCCCTATGGATCCCCATGGATACTAGTAGGCTGATAAAAGAGGAAAATTGTTGCCTGATGATTGAAATACAAAAGCATGATATGTGTTATGTTGCAGAGTGTGCGTGATCTTATGATATTTATGATGTAATTATTTTCATAAATTGTTTTCATGAATCTTACCGAGGTAGGTGGACAGTAAAATGTTTTATTATTGATAAATGAGTTTGTATAAATTATGCTCCATTAGTCGTTTTCGTTTTCTACCAACTTTTACTTCTATGACAGTGAGATAGTGTGATGTCTTTACTGGGCTAGTGTAGTTCATTCCTTACTTAACTATTTCAGATCAGGAGAATTTGGTTCCTGAGCCCGTTCTGCAGGAAGACAGCGAGTAAAAGTAAAAGAATTTATTAATTTTTCTTACAGTATTCATTCATAGTATTTTCTTTAAGTTAGTTTATTCTTACATACTTTAATTCGTTTTGGTTATTGTGTAAGGGATGTTAATCATAATGTATTTTATTTCGTTTTCGCACTTAGAATAAATATATATACATTTCTTTTTAATTTTCAGGGCTGTTATAAAATTATTTTATATTTTTTATTATATATTTTGAGCATATTACAATCCTACAAATATAGCCCATTAGGAGTTATAGTAATGAAAGGTTCATCCATTCTTTCATGAAATTCTTCTAAATTTCAAACAGCCACAGAATATGTGTTTAGAATCGTAAAAATAAAAATTATCTATTGGTAAAAGTTATTCACCTATAACAATAACTTTTCCATTTATATAGGTTATATCTATACTAAGGTAAAAATATTTTTTTTCCTATTGGTATATATTTCTCTTTGTACCTAGTATTAGAATAGCTGCTACTTCATTCTTTTATATAATTACGTATAACTACAGGATCATATTTGTAATTAAGCATAAGCTAATTCTTCTGTATAAATACTCACATGTGCACTGTTCAAAATAACTAAAATAGTTATCTTTTCTCTTAAAGTTTTTCTAGTCTCCTTTATCTCTCTTACGAAGATTGTCAATCTTTTAACTTTTTCTTTAATTATTAATTCAGATTGTACAGTAAATTTGATGCCTAGTGCCAATTATATTTTATATTACTAATTTAATTTAGTTAGATCAATTTGTTATTGGATAAAACTTGATTTGGAACTAAGCTGTAGAAAATTTTTGGGTGTCATCTTATGAATATTTCATATTTAGGAAAGTTGACCTAGTCCCCCTAATAGAAGAATATCAATGAATCTTTCTAGCTCTTGAAAGCTTAGCTAGAAAACTGTAGAAACCAAATTATAAAACCAAGACAGGAAAGCCTTATCAACATTACTGCAAAATGGCCTAGAATGACATTCTTCCTTTCATTACAGGCAATAGAAAATCAATATTATAGATTCAGTTGCAAGAGTTCAAGATGGATTTTTTTAACTAAATTCAAAAATGTATTTTGCTCGCTTTACGGATACTCAAACTGGTTCTTTTCTCATCAAGAAGAGGTTTTGATAGTTGAATGAGTCATCTGTATAATGTCAGCTTATATCATGAGCTGAATAGACTTAACACAAATTGTGCTAACAAAGATCATTAAAATTTTGAATGTAGTACGAACAAAAGAAAAAGTTGACTTACATGTTGTATTGAATATGTATATATGGCTATAGGGACATCTCAATCCATTCTCATCATAAAAGACATACAACACATATGACTGAAATCTATAGATGTGAGGGAAAGGAATATAATAGACTGCAAGAGAATAAAAAAAAAAACAAGAAATTGGAAAAAAGAATTATAGAGTTTGTTAGAATTTGATATAAAATGGAGGGAAACTTGGTTTTGCACCATCAAGGTTGTTTTAAGTCGTGAAAGTTATCTTTGGATACCCGAGTATGAAGTATGATTAATGTTGGCCTGACCATGGTTGTGAGACAGTTCTGGAGCAAATACATAGTTCAAATAATTGATAATTTATAGAAATTTCAGTATGACTGTACCACAGATAATGCATGAGAAATTAATAAGGTAATGAGGGCCTGAAAGGCAAGCAAGGAAGAAAGAGTCAATATTGCAAAAGCACGAATGTCGGTAGAATTCCTATGTTCAGAAGGAAATTACAATTTCAAGGATGCAATGTCTCTATAGAGAAAGAACTTGGAGTCACGTTAAGCCACATTCATTCTAAAAAATAAATGAACGAAATTATAATCGAAGTCATGTTGTATTAGAATCTAATAATCAATAAATAGCAGATTTAGAACGTATCATACAAATGTGGTATATTTATTTAGTATATTTTATATATAAATATAATAAGAATGCATTTAGTATTAATTAAATAAAATTTTTTAACAACGTGGTATATTAATTTAAATATTTTGTTGTTTTATATTCTTGCATTAAATCATTTGAAGAACATAATTAATTATAATAATTACCATAAGAGAATACTAGTAATCTTATTTTTTTTCTTGGGTGAAGCATAAAAATTTTCGTACTTATTAGACCGAGTTCAAGTCTAACAAATATAACAAGGAAGCTTGTTTAATTCAGAAGATAGGAGCAGGAATCATGACTTTATGGGTTGTTAAATAAAATCAAGATGAATACATTCTTACAACATCTAGAAATAAAATCAAGATGAATTATATTGAACATCTTTTTTAATAAACACATCTCATCGAAGATCACACCCACCTCACTTATATCTGATGACCTTCATTGATAATAAAGTATTATGACTTCTTTACAAAACCAACAGTATATCATTTAGAGGCTAATGGTTCATTGTTTGGCCACCAAATATACCAAATAGAAAGTAAGTATGTGAATAAAGGATTAAATTTTTCATCAATGTACAAAATACTAACAAAATTCTTTGCATCTAACAATCACAAAAGGTTCAATTTATTTTATTCTCTTCACCAAATGGAATTAATTGAGAGCACTCTTGCAATAAAGGTTCTCTCTTGTTGGTAATGTGCTTTTACTTGTCCTCAAAATGAAATTGTGACAGTTAGGCGAGACATTTAAACGAATTACTTAAATAATTATGTCGTATACCATCTTTATATATTTATTTAATTAATTTTTATACTAATTTTTTATTTTTATCATAATTGGGGATATTAGAGTTTTTTTTTTTTTTGTCATAAAAAAAAAAAGAAAGACTATTAGAAGCATTAAATACGTCTTAAAACTTTTGAGAAATGACAAAAATATGGATCAAACTGCTAGGTGTGCGGAAGAAGAAGTTTTTGAATCTTTGGAGATTGGTAGGACATCCATCTCCATTGTTGTAATTTTTGAAGGTTGTTAATGGTGGACATTTTATTTATATGAAGAAGAGAAGAGGAAAAGGGGACAGATAGCAAAGAGAAGACTTGAGTGGATTGATGAGTAAGTCTTCTTTTAAAATTAGCAAAACGTAGAAGAATTTTTTTTTTATTTTATTAAAAAATAATTATAAAAATTAAAATATTTTCTTACATAACATATGCCGAGGATAATTAAACATAATTATGTGTCTAGTAAAATTGTTACATAATAAATTTGCTATCCATACGATGAGATTAAACAAATAGAAATTAATACACATATTTTTAAAAATAAATGTAATACAAGACAAGAGTTAAAAAGTTAATATAAAAATTAATTTAAATATTTAAAATAACTAATTTAATATTATATTTTTGAAAGAATCAATGCATAATAAAGAGCTGATACTTCCTAGATTGAGGTATTGTCTGATCAACTTCGGGCATATATATATATATATATATATATATAACAATTAGGAGGAGTACACGTGGCCAAAGTAACATCATACATATCCAGTTCTTATCCAAAAATTTAGTTTCCATTGGAAATAAACAAATGCCTACTAGCTTATATGGTAAATAACAGAGTAATAATATATATATATATATACATGGGTGACACACACGCTCTCTCCATTTACAGAACCACTCCTCCTCCGTCCCCGGCCGCCGGCAACTTCATTCATCGCGGCCGTCAGTCTCTACTTCTCTCCAGACCCACCACCCATCTTCTCCACCATCCTTTTCCACTTCGAGCAGGTAATTAATTGATAATATTCAATAATAATTTCTCATGAAAAGATATCTAATAATTGGGAATATATATTCATGTGAGATGTATGTATAATTCTCGCAGTGAGCAACGAATCGAATGGGAGTGAAAGAGGTGGAGTGGAGAGATCCGAGGCCGATAGAATGGTGGACGCCATGGATTTTGGTGAGCTTTGTAATGAGTTTGAGTGCTTCAGTAGTCCTCAGGTTGAATCCACCGCCAGACAACTGGCTCGTGATATTCTTCAGCTCAGTCAACCAAATTTTCCCCTTGCATCCTCTGTCATATACAAGGTATATATACATGTACGCGTAGATATTATATGATATTGTAATTTTGAAATAGAAAATATGTATTATCATCATGTTGAACTGAGTGAGTTCAGATTTAATTAAAATGGTAAAAAAAATTGAATATTTGTATGTTTGTGGTTGATAATTGCAGGATCCAGTAAGAAGTTTTAGAGGGCGTGACAAGTACAAGAGACCGCTATGGGTTAGTGGCGCATTGGAAAACCCATCTGTGGTAATTTTTCTCAAACAAATTTGGCTAAATTATAGAAGTAGTTTCTGGTTTTTCTGTTGGTAGTCAAGTCAGAAAAAGATTGGTTTTGAATCAAATTGATCTACACGGTTTTTGTGTCAGACAGTGGAGGAAATGGAGATGTTATCAACAAGTGTATTGAGCATAAAATGGACAATGAGAGGGAGGCCAAAGTGGTTAACTAGTGGAGGAGAAGAGTTGATAGTAAAAGTGAGTTCCCAATTCACTCTAAACCAGATAAGTGGTCAAGTGATTGAGCATCAAGAGGTTTGGGATTTATCGGCATCATCATCAATTGCGCAACTTTTCTTCTGGACATCATGTCGTCTGCTCGCAACAATCGACACGACTAAAGACTTGGGAGACCTTGTCAAGGGCTTCTCCTCCCAAAAACCAGACGTAGACACTTATCCTCAGCCATCTGTTGATCCAACCAAGGTTATTTTCTACTTACTCGATGTTCATTCTTCTAAACATTATTTTTGTTGGACTTGGGATGCTAATGTTCGAGAATTAATTTGATTTTCTTTCAGTTCTTCCAATCGGAGGACAGCTTCCAACGAGATGCATACCAATTTGTCTTCTTCGTTGCGCTTGTATATTTCGTAGTACAGTTATTAAGAACCACTTTGTAAAATCTTTTCTCGTTCCTTTTCTTATATTTTTGTTCATTGTTCTACCTGTAAATTGCAGGTATATTAAGATCCACATTGTACGTTTCTTTGTTGAGAAAATGCATATAGGTATTACATATTAAATTTATCTAAAATTAGATATTCCTGTACTATTCCAAACTATTAAAAAATGAGAACAAATATTTACTAAAAGAATTCAAAAGACAATGATTTACTTACTGTAATTTTGTCACTGGAAGTTTCTAGTTTTAGTGGGGGGGAAAAAAAATAAAGTACAAAGAAACCTTTTCTGAAAAGAACTAATAGATTAGGCCACTGAGTCTTCCAGTATAAACATCTAATCTCTCTCTTTTGTACGTTTAAGGCCCTTCACACCTCTTTTATATATATATATAGATTAGTATAAACATCTACTCTCTCTTTTGTACGTTTAAAGCTCTTCAAACGAAAATTTTTATTTTTCAACCCTAGTAAACAAAAATCTCATTGATGGCCTACTATTCAGCCCACCACAATAGTCTTGGGTGAAAAGAGACCATTTATCCAAGCTTTATTCACCTTCCTCTCCTTAGGAACCCTGATATTCTGTCATGGCCAAAAAAAGAGAAGGATTAAATATGAGAAGAGCTGAGAGCAGATGCATTTGTAGGAAGTTAAAAAATCAAGGAAGATCATCAATGGTGTTAGGCTCCAGGATGAAGGAAGCATAGAACAGTGAGAAAGGAGATGTAAAACTTGAATTTATCCATGCGGAACTTCAATATTTTTATACAACCTTTACATGCTGATAAAATTATCCATTATTAGAGGAGAATTAGAGATGTTTCACCCAGATGAGTGACGTGCTAAATCATATGATCACTTGAATCATTCAGGGTCTTGAGCTGAAACTATGTTTATGCTTAATCATGTGATTCATAGAACCGCATCAAATTATGTGATGTGTTGTTTGCATGTATGCCATTTGATGTGATTATTCAAATAGCATCTGAACTGCTTTGCTGAAATCTGCAGCATTAGCTTGGTACTTATGGTGTGATAGCAGGAGATGTATAAGTTAACTATTGGAATGTGTAATGTGCTGAGATGATCAATCATTACAATTACATTAGGCAATATAGAACTCTCGGGCTACAAGTTTAACATGTAAAATAATCCTCTAAGTGGAGCTCCAGTTTTGTGATTAATTTAAAATCTCAAAACGTTAAATTTTAAAATTTAAAAGCCCTCCATCCTCTACCTGTCTCAACAGACTCATTACTCTTCCTTCTTAACTCACCCTCTTGCGATCCTTCATGTCTCCTACCTCTTCCACCACCTCCTTCATCCTACTCTTACTCCATCATCATAGGACACCGAAAAGAGATATCTGATCAAAAGAGAAAGAAGTCTTAAGAAGCGCTAGCACCTGAGTCTTCCATTTTCCTCTAGTTCAACCTCGGGTTCACCCACTACAAATCCAGAACCTCTTTCCCAACAATTAAAACCACAGCCTCGATCGCCAAAACCAAATCTCAGCCTCCTCCTACATCAAAGTCGATGGCCCACACAGGCTTCTCATGTCGTGCTCCTCCATTAACACAAACGCCACAAAATAAGGAGATGATTCCTCTTATTCAAAATTCCAACAGCCCCTGTTAACGTGGAGCCCTCTCCTTCCAAACCCTCTAATGAGCAGACGCAGAAAAGATTGCCTGTACAAGCCTCTGATCATGCCGAAGACATGGATTTTAAATCCTCTAATAGTAAGTCCAGATATCAGAATGAATTTATAACCTCCTCTATTTCACTTCATAGACCAATTAAAATCTCTTACCTGACATCCCTAGTTTTCTCCTAAATGACTTATTGAAACAAAAAGAGTAGGATTACTTATTCATTAACACCCAGTATTGATACCTCTTGACACATTCAAACTATAATAATTAATGCATCCGTAAACCTAACAGTTGAAAAATCGGCTTAGTAGATGTTAATCTATAATGATTTGCAAATTTAGATCGGCTAATTGTTCTTGGATAGCACCGCCCTAGTAGAAATTTCTTCGAACCAATCATAAACTTTATTGAGATAGGTAAACCAAGAGTACTCCTTCAAGAATCGTATATGAGAATTTTATCTCGAACAATACAAATAAAAATACTCCAATACTAATTTAAACGAATATGTAATAGAAAGTTCGAAACTTCTTAATTCTCCCCTTCAATATTTATCTAAAGAATAAAAATTCAAAAATTTTTTTTTTTAGTTAAATGCCAAAACATCAAGTAAGCTCATTCATTTTTATTTTGTGTTGATCGTTATAGGCCTTTTGAATCTTCTATATTATCTATTTGAATTCTTTTTTTGATTTGATATTTGTATATAATATAGCTTTATTCTTGTTTTCTTTATTTTAATTCCATGTAGGGGAGCCATTTTAGCATACCAACCAATATTTTTTATTTTGAATACTTAGAGGCCTTCAAGCTTTCAATTGGGAACCTAGACATTTTTGAACTAAGAAGCCTACATCCTAGGACTTTCCCCAAGATCTTTAAATCCTGCATCACATAATTAGGACAAATATTTTGTCGTGTTATGGTGTTACCACATGAGCATCCATTATAAGAACCTTGATAATGTGGCACTTGGTGGCTGAAAAATCTATTAACCTACCCTACATCATTTTTGGAAAGGATGATGGACATAAATACTGAACCAACCCTCTTACCCTACGAGTCCTTCATCTCGCTCATTACCACCTTGCACCTGAATGTAAAAACTCTAGGTAAAAAAGAAGTTCTTGATATTCCAACAAATCACACTTACGATCACTATATTTTAAAAAAAAACACTTCTGATCACTGAACTCTTAAGACTATGAAGCCATCGTCAGCCTATACAAGATACAATAACCACAACAGGCACTTAGACTCCTGACACCTCACATCAAGCACTTGGTGAAAAACCTCTATCACCTTCGTAGCCCCCCAATCTCTTCCATATCTAAGCTTGAATCCCTACTCAAGAGAAATTATTGAAAAAAATGACGAGCTGCTCGCTAAGATGAAGACCCTCAACCAAAACTTGAGCGCATATATGTAGAATTTAAAATTTGGTAAGGGTCTCTATGATGAAATGATCTTGTGATCAACTTTTTTTTTCGAATTAGCATGGACCAATATGGTTTCTAAAATTTTTTGGAAACTGCTTGTGCATTTTATCTGCTGATTGTTATGTAGTCAGTTTGCTATATGAAAGAAGCATACTTCTGAAAAATGCGTTTGTCAATACTTAAATCTGTTCTCTTAAGTTATTTGATTATCACATACATTTCTTTTTTTTATATAAACAGTGTAAAGTATGTATTAACATGGTACCAAAGAAATGGGGTACCACCCGCGTACAAAAGCACTTACATAGAAGTTAATACGTCAATAACATCCCCAAAATTCACATCATTAATGATATCATAACTTAGCATAATCGACCCAAATAAATATATTCACCTATTTCTTAGTCTATTAGTGTTACTCTCAACATTAGTAAAAACTCTCCTATTTCTCTATTTTCAAATGACCCAAAAAACAATTAAAAAAAATAATATTTTTTATATTTCTTTTTCCATAAAAACC